TTTCTGAGCCCGTTTTTGCCTCTCTAACCTACTTCCTCCATTTAAAAGCAGCTGGAGCATAATAATAGAAGCTCCTCTGAATGCACGAGCCAAACATTTGGGCCAAAGGGGAGCCAGCGACAAGGGTTTATCCACAGACGTGAACCCTAAACATCCATTTACATGTCAACCATCGCACTAGTGAGGGACTCTTTGCCCTGCTGCCGGCTCAGAGAGAGGAAACTCGCACAGCAATTTACTGAAACGCGACGATCTACAGTTCTGATGAGCTTCAGAGTCAGACATGGATTAGACAGCCTTCACTCTTCAACTCGGGTTTTTGAAAGGACATAAAGCTTTTCTTTGCCATTTGTTCTGTTCTCTGTCACGGTGACTCTGCTTTAATCGTGTTGCAGTCTGGGCCCTGCGGAATATTCATCCCTTCATAAGACTTTTGCCCACTAAGTATCATTTAGCATTTAATTTTTTCTTTCTTCTCTTTTTTACAGTTTCCAAATGTAATCATTTTGGCTCTTGGTAGCCAAATGTAAAGAATCCATAGTGGCTAAAGACTTCCTTCAGAGCTGACTAACTGGCTCTTTTTATATTTCACAAGTAAAGGACACAATGAAAAAAACAAGAAAACACTTTAGTTCCTTTGAAATAATAAGAGAGGCTTCCCTGTTACCCCGGCAGCCCTACTTGGCAAACACTCCTACTTTCAACAGAAGTGCAGTTTGGGAGATCTGAACAAACTTCAAATTTAATAAAAAAGAAAAAAAAAATTTTTTTAAAGGAAAAAGAAACAAGCCCCGACTTGTTTCATACCCTTAATGGGAAAAGGTTGGTCATGTTTACAGGAGTCATGCATGTCCCACCACAACCAAAACAAAGCGCTCTGATAATGCTGCTTATGGGGAGCAGGGTGCGACCTGCTCTGTCACACAGCTAATAAAACGCCTCACCTTATCTCAGCACAGCGCTGACAGCTCGGTTTAAAGTGCAGGAAATACCACTTTGCACCAAATCGTCAACTGTGAGGCATGAAAACAAGCCCCAAAAAAAAAAAAAACCACCGTCCTTTAACCTAACCCGAAGCCCATCTGACCTTTCCCTGGCCTGAACGACACAAGCACATTGCCGAAACTGACCCGAGCTGGGCTTGAAATTAATGTTTTCCACTGCCTGCTGGCCCCGTCAACAGGTTCTGGACCACGGGACTGATACCTCTGTGCACTCAGCAAGCTCCAAAATGAAGCTCCAGCCTACTTTTGACACCTGCCCAAAGAGCATTCAAGGTGCAACAATAAAGCAAGAAAGAAAAAGCTACATTTACAGATGAGTTCCCCATTAAAATTCCCCCATTTATTTTCTGGACACATGTAGGAGGATCAACAACCGGCAACATCTAAACCACGATTTGTAACAATTCAAGGCAAAAATAATAAGAAAGGAAGCCCGAACAAGAAAGAGTAATTCAAGCCCCCTCCGAGCCGGGATTTGCATGCAAACGGCCGATGCAGATGCTGACCGACGTCCGAGAGTGACCACGTGAGTGGGAGCAGCTGAGGCCACCCCGTGTGCGTGTTCTCGCCACCGCTGTGGGTGGAGGGGGGGGCCCGCGCTCAGGAGGGACTCGTTAACGCTCGTGGACGTCTCAAGTGGTTAGCGACAACATCTGCAAGATAGCGCTTGTGTGGGCACGGTGCAGGCAGACGATCACATCTGCAGGCCGACAGCCTGGAGGGGGGGGGAGAGTGCGCTTTACATGGTACGTCACAGCAGATTTGCGTGTCGGGGGACAATTTGGATGTGTGTGCGCTCGACTGCGAGGCCGATGCTGGCAGCAGAGGTGGCGGCTGTTGTTGTCAAACTGGCTGTATTTTTCCAGGGCAAGGGG